TCCCTTTTTCTTTACAGGATGAAGTCATTATATAAGCCTTCAATGGATTAACAAGAACATCTGCGGAAGCTGAGCATGAGAAATAGGGGGGGTCCTTCCTACGAGCTATCTTAAAGAACCTCTGGTTTAGGGCATAAAGGAACATGGACTCTGCCAGCAAATCCCTATAGTCCCTCACTGTATCCAGCTCACCAGCTGCCATCTTATAGCTAATAATTACTGCAGACTGTCACAAGCGAATTTCAATGTTAAAACTGAAAATTCCACGTATATCACTTGCACGTCCATGAATGTGCAGATCAATTGGTACAAACAAGATTGAGATTTATTTCTGTACTAACCCCAGTAGCTTCAGATTCAACAAAACATGAAAAACGTGGCTCTTCATGAGATGGAACTGTATATCTTGGTATAAGAGGCTGCTCAGGTGATGAAATTTTATGTCCGAAATGATTCTTTATCAACTCAACTACACTCTGAGAGAGAGAGAGAGAGAGAGAGATTTTAAGGCATCTTGACTACAAAACAACTCTTATAATTCCAATATGAACATTAACATGTTGACAATGCCAAACCTGGGTATCAGAGAAATCTCCAACAGCTATCACTGCCATGTTGCTTAAATGGTACCACTTACTATAGAATTGCTTCACAGTCTCAGAAGAAACAGTTCGAATCACCTTCTCTAATCCAATCGGTAAGCGGTCAGCGTACTGCAATGAAACGAAGGTTCTTTTATTTTGGTCAAAACAAAAGAGGGGTCTAAGAATAACATAAGATTGACAAAAAAATTCAACAAGTTTACCTAGGTCTTAGACTTCAGCACACATAGCAGAGAAAATTAAAAAAACTTAAATTCATGTACTTTACCTTAGCAACATCCTTCTACTTAATATAACATTAAAGAAATTATGTAAAACTAGTTCCAAGTTCCAACCCTCTGTGGTTATATGTGTGCATGGTACATTGTTCTATCATGGACCCCTAAATCTAAGACTCAATTGCATAGTCAGAATGTTGTAGGAGGCACATAAAAACATTACAGGTGATGGTTCATCAAAGAATAAAAAAATCTCCTGATCAAGTTAGTCAGGGATTATAAGCTTCATAGTAGCAGTACCTGTGAACCTTCCATCATCAGAATCCAATGTGCATCCTGCATCCTTCCTGTAGCATTCCGGTTCCCTCTGTATTCTTCCATAACCGCACCTCTTTCTCTTTCTAGATCATCTTTTGAGACACGAACCTGCACATTGCACGTAATTAAACCAGAGAGTAAAAATTGTGGAGAATTACCGAACAAGGTAAACTTTGTTTATACCTCAGAACTGAATTCGGCCAAGACTGAAATGGCCTGAGATAACAGTTCATGCTTATCAACAGGAACAAACAACTCGTAAACAGTGTCGTCGGCAGATGTCACTGCATTCTGACAAGCGCCAAATTCTGCCCCAATACTCTCAAGAAATCTGATTATATCATGATTTGTGTATTTCTCAGTTGCACTGAAAGCAAGATGCTCAACTATGTGAGCAACTCCTCGTTCGTCCTCCTCTTCCAAAACTGATCTGCCATGAACCCAATAATATAACAATCCTTTATAAATTCAGGGATATATACATATATGAAAGGTTTGAACCTATTTATCTAGTCAATGAGATAAAATGCTAACTCTACATATGATATAACTTTCCAACTCAAGCACATAATATATTGTTGTGTCATTATGTGCATTTCTATTCCATGTTATTCAATTTCAGTTATTTAATCATCCCAATTGGGGATGGAAAAATCTTTCCTCTTCCTTTACTCACTGCATTGTTCGGTTTCAGCAAGTATAATTGATATTTCAGTTTATTGCGTTGTGGATCAAATTACATTATCAGAATCCCAGAGTATAATAGCAAATGGCAGTTCCCCCACCAAGTTCACCAAAACCCACAGTGAAAGAAACCACTAAATTAAGCACAGAAACACAATTGCCCATGTAACACCAATCAACGACCAAATGCACAGAAGCAATAAAGATAAAGAAAAACAAACCCAATTATAAACAAAAAAGAAGTTGTACCCGACTTTGACAGCAAGAGCGAGCGCTGCTCTCATTCTGGGCTTAGAATTACAACGAACATAGTAACATAGACCATTGTCAAGCCTGCCATAGTCAACTCCAACAGGTTGTTCCCCAAGCACTTGGTCCATGTCTACGTTCACCAGCTTCAATGACCTGAACCCATGTTTCTTCTTCACTGTATTTGAGGTCTCTGCCGGAAGCAAATCCATCTCTGTGTCTCCCTCTTCAAATTGGGAAATTGGACTCACTTAAAAGTTTCAGTCTTTCAGATTTCAGTTATTTGTTGGCAAAGAAATAATCTTTATAATAATAACACCATAATAGTGTTTGTCAAGACTCAAAAAAAAAAACACGAAAGCTACGAACTGCTACTTCTGTGTCGTCTTTTACAATTCGAGAGCTCTCAGCTTTGACTGTGATGCCATCAGACCTTGCACACCATGATCTTGCCACGTCAGCGTTCACATCTTGGGCCTGAGCCCATTAGGAACAAACTTGGGCCCTTTCTTTTCCCTCTAAAGAAGAAGAACTTGGACTTTTACGGCTCCACAGTACCCAAATGGATCGTCTCCTCTTCGGAGTCTTCCACTCTTGAGCTAAGCTGCGTTCTACTTTCATCACCGCAGTCTACAGAGGCGCACGTTAAGGTGCTCAAGAGAGACGCCTTTGCTAAAAGACGACGGTATTTAAGAAACCATGCCTATCCTGCACACCTGCGCGCCTGTTCTTCAAAGTCCCAACACTTCCTTATCCTTATTTCCCAGCAGCGCAAGCCGCTTCCCGCCATTTTGTACAGTTAAGCTTCCATTTCGGAGCTTTTATGCACAGCCGGGCCAGCCCAGGAAGTCTGTGTTTGTGGCTAAAGCGGGTCGAGGCCTAAAGCTGAAGACAGAAAAAGTGAGTGAAGGAGAAGACGATAAAGAACATGACTTTATTGATATAGAGGCTGAAGTTGAAGCTGAATCTGAAGACAGATTTTCAGGCCGAGGTGGGTTCACAGGGAGAGAGGAAGAAAAGGACTTTGATCGGGACCCTGAGTTTGCTGAAATTATGGGTGCTTGTCTTGATGACCCACAAAAGGCTAGGTCCAAGGTAAACCTTTTTTTCTTTTTTGTGGTTTTATTTTAAGGTTTAAGGAGTTTTTATGTGTGAGCATTGACAGAGGTTTAACCAAATTGCAGATGGAAGATAGGTTGAGGAAGAAAAGGAACAAGATATTGCACACAAAGTCTGGTTCAGGTGTACCCATGAATGTGACATTCAACAAGTAAGTTCAGATGGTGTTGGAACAGAAAGCAATTTGTCAGTGTGGGTTTTGGTCCATTTTCTAGCTTGTACATGCTGGGGATGCTTAATATAAACAAATGATCTTGTGCTAATTATTTCCAGAGGTTGTTCCTATATGCAAATTGTGTAAACTACCATTTTTTTATGGTTAAATAACTGTCTTTTTTAAATTTCACTGATGAAACAAGATCATCAAGTGCATTTGTTTACTAACTTAGTCTTGGCTTCTGGCACAACCAGCTTTGGTTTCTCAAACTCATATATATGGTTTGAATTCTACAACACTCCATTGGAACAAGATGTTTCCTTAATCTCTGATGTAAGTACCTTATCCTCTTCTTGAAAATACGTTCTTTGTAATATATCATCAAGTAACTCAGATCTGGCGTCTACAGACCATTCGATCATGGCACATCATTGGACGCATGGGTGGATGCAATTCCATGAATATGCAAGTAAATTTTCAATTACCCTATAAATTTCCGTTTGAAACTTGGTGAGAGCCGATCGGCCATAGAAATATCATACATGACTTCATATCAAGTTTATATACTGGAAAACAAAATGCAAGTTTTTGAGCCATAAATCCCCACCTGCTTTGATCTCATTCATGCAGTTGTCACAATCTCCTTTGGATAAAAGACCGAGTTATGATGCCATTCAGGGAGCAAATGTAACACCAACTACATTTTACAATATTGGAGATCTTGAGATTCAAGACAACTTAGCACGTGTTTGGTATGAGCTCAACTTGAATTTCATGATTTGGGACTTTATGGTGATGCTTAGTTAAATGCTGATGCTTTTTTGTAATTGGGAGGAATGGAAGTGTAGATGGTTCTTGCTCACCAATCTGATAAATTTTTTGACAGGGTGGATATTGGCACCAGTGAACCATTGCTACTGGATGTTCTAATAAATGCATTGACTCAGATAAGCTCCGAGTGCGGCTCTCAAATTCCCATATCTTCTACTGGATGTTGCTTGTTTAATGCCTTGGCCTAGATTCATTTGGAAGCTTCTTATTTCGTATATTTATTCTTACTCTTGTTACTTGATGTCTGTTAAACAGCTTTGTTGGAATCAAGCAAGTGGTGTTTGGTGGGTCTGAATTTGAAAACTGGAAGGAGAACTTGACATCAGAGGATGCAGGTTACAGTGTTCACAACATTTAGCCAATTTGGTGTGCACCCAAGATTTATATATTATGCGCAACGTCTGAAGATTGAAGGTCTCAGACTGGGTACAAAGAACGGTCAAGATTAGAGATGCTGGCGTAAAGCCAAATCAATGATAAATTTCGGGTTGTGTACTAGTACCTCATGTTTTGATACTAAGAGATGTATATGGACTACTGCTGAAGGGGGAATATAGGGGAACTAAAATGGGGGCCATTTTCAACCCAGTAATATAGCATGCGAAGGATCTCCATATTTTCCCATTAATGAGTATATATCTGTGCAAGTTTTTGTTCCAATATACGATACTTTACTTTGTACCAAACAGATATTACCTAAATTGACAAAGTGGATGTGAAAAAAGCAGGTGACTTGTTTTGTATTTGTAAACACGGATCCCATAACTTGATGCAAAATTGAAATAAAAATGCAAGTTACAGAGAATGAAAACGACACTGACATGTTAAAGGTGGCGTTAGCTGCTCAATTTCATTAGAAGTAATAAAGTTCTGCAAATATTCGAATAACAAAAGCTAGGATGCAAGCATAGAGCTCAAAGATTTACAGATAAGCCTCCAATATTCCAACCCACAAACCACTTTCACCCTACAAATTGCATCAATCGGTAAAGTACAAGGGCATCGCCAAAATTGAAGTCCTTTATGATGCCTCAGCAATGATAGAGAGCTGCACAGACACTTTCTCAGCTATTGATTTGATCTCTTTCACTCTCTCATCAACTAACTGCTGGAGTTGCTCCTCCTGATTTGGTTGATTCTCATCTATCTGAACAGTACTAGCAGCTTCACCAGCTTGTTTCATAAAGTAAAAAACAAAAAGAAATTTTCAGTGGGAAAACAGATGCAACGATAACTCACCACGTTTCTTTGCAGACCTCCCAGTTCCCCTTTCACCTGTACAACCATTGGCTGGCAATACTACCATGATTAGAACCACCATGGTCCTAGGAACAAAAACAAATGCAACAGCCAAAAAAAATTGAAGAAACTGTTTCTTGTTGATTATCAAACTTTTCCGGACATCCTCAATGACTCTAGTGTCTGGCATGAGTCGAGGAGTGTGTGTCTTCTTCGAAAATTTTCCTTGCTTTAGTTGCGAAACTGCTGAGCTGACTGCATGCTTGATTGGATCGAACTTATGAAGGCGCAGTATATCAACACAAGTGCGTACATGTTGAAAGTAATCCAATGGTTCTTCAACGGTGAGGTCATAGACGTTTTCAGATATTGCACCATCATTGAGAACCTCAAGAAGGTATCGTCCATAACCCTTGTGTTGATAAGGAGGCAATACCAATATCTGCCATCAACAAGGAAGCTTGTTAAAACTCAACAGCACCAAGATTGCACAAAAAATGAAATTTATTTGAACTACGGACGCACCAAGCTGTTTCTCTAGAGTATGCATAACTAGCAACTGATATATACAAGGAGCAAACCTGACCAATCCGCAACCGAGAACTATCAGGATAATGGTAAAAACGATACACAGCTGTAAAACCAAGCAACATATTGTAGATTTCCCCCTGCTGATCTGTTTTCCTCACGATCAGGACATACAACTCCCAGCTTGGATCCACAACATCAATTGGACTACTACCTAATTCAAAAAACAATTGATGTCATATTCTTACACTCCCCCTTCCCACCTTTTCTCCATAAAAATAAGAAAATAACAGTGTTCTCTGATGATGTGAGATAGGTGATAAAATTACCATCAATAAGAAGAAGAACAAGAGGAATCAAGTGACTGTAAAGGTGTCCAGCAGCTGTCTTGCCCACAACCAAGCGCACAACCTGAAGTTGGCTGTTATTAAAAAATGCAACACAAATTTCTAATATTTTATTATAGTACGAAAAAACAAAGATCTGCACATCAAAATCACCTCCACATCAGAAGTGGCTGCATTAGAATCATTTATTTGTCCATTGGAGGTCTTGTACTGCAACACCTCCCCATTTGAGACAATGGATCTGCACATGTTGTAAAGATAGAATTCATTAAGTAAATAAGCAAAGTTACAAAAATCCAAAAGTTATGGACATAATTAATTTTGATATTTGACCTATGAAAGTATTTCACCATTCATTACCTAATAAAATTCCTCTGTGTTGAAAAACTTTGTAGGAACTCCTCCTCACTCTCAACAAGGGTCAAACCAAAGATTTCCTGGAGAACACTACTAACTTAGCAGCCGAACTAACAACATACTAAACTGAAGTGACAGTTTAAATTGGGAATCAATCCATACCTGAAGAGTTGATTTCAAATCGGTGATCCCTTTGCCTCCCTTGTAACATTTAACCATTTCAATCAGCAATATGACAGAGACAGTGCTAGAAGGATAAGCAATCGGCAAAGTTGACAAATAGAACAGATTGATGTACACACAAAGAGAGAAGGGGCAACAGAATGCCAACACTTACATCAGTTGTGCTCTCAAATGCAATATCAGCAAAGGCATGAAATGAAATACTGCTAACCCATATGGTAATCTGCATTGGATGGAAGATAATAATGAAGCCATGTTGAATCATTCCGTTCAGACTATTAAAATAGTTTAAACATTATTTGCACCAGTGAAGCAAATGATATGAAAGTAAACTTCAATTAAAATGTACAAAGATTACCTTCAGTCCTTTGTAACCATGTATCTTCCCCTCATCAAAAAATCTATCCAAGTCAACATCATCTAAACAAAAGTTGTTTGAAGCACCCACTTCCTCTTTGCTAGAAACTGTGATAGCAGCCATTGATTAAGCACGCATGTGAGCTAATGATTGAGATATTATAAAGAAATTACATAGGATTTAAAGCAGAGTATTCGTTCCCAAGTCAACAAGGATAAAAATATCGACAAAAAGTAAGTTTAATATCACATTCCACAATTAAAATTTTCCAACCAATCTGAAAATGTATAAAGCACGCAATTGCATCTATTTTTAACATCCTCGTATAAATTATTAAGCATTCACGTAATCTCAACTCATACGTGTGATTAAATCATTTTCCAGTCACCAAAATCATCACGGCTTGGTTGCTGACTGAATGTCAACCTCAAGTCCAAAATAATCACAACTACGAATTTTCTAGTTCCACGTTTTCTTATTAATCAATAACCAAATAGCTAAAATGGGGTGAGGTCCCAAATTTATTTATTTTAAAGATAAAGTTTCTGGCCTAGGCTCCAACTTTACTGAGCCACCAAACAGCTCATTAAGTTAATGTTCAACCAAACCATCTCAATCAAAATCCCCAAAAAAGAAGTTACCAAAAACTAAAATTTAGCCTCACTCAACAGTATCAAACAGTAATATCCGGTAAATGCGCATAAAACCCATCATACCTAGGTAAATCTTGATGCAATCTTTGGCGTCTACTCCAACATCTGCTCCCAAACCCACAAAAGCACACAAAATTTAGGTCTAAATTAAGTACCAAAACATACAAAACAGAAAGGAGAAGAGAACATAGTGGTTTATAGAAACAACGGAAACATAACTTGGAAAACAGAAGTGAAGAGGACTCACCGGGATGGGAGAAGCCCACACGACGTCGTTTCTTAGGTTCGGTGGCGGTGGGATCGGCGGTGGGTCCTTGCTTCTGGACCATTTCTGGTTAGGGTTTCGGGAGCTGGAAATGAGAGGGAGAGAGGCGGGAAAAATTACACTGTTATAAAATGGGGGGAATTGGGCATCATCGGTGGTATTTATAGTGAAATTGGCGAAGATAAATATCACGTGATTTGCACGTGCGACGCATTCCAATTTTCCAAATTTATCTGGGCCATCATCCTAGCGCGCGGCCAGTTTATGTTTTTTGGAGCCTTTGGTTGGTAGCTCTGCTTTGCTTTGCCTGCTGGATCTTTGGGTTTTAACCCAGAAAATTGGAGCCGAGCCCAAAATGTTGTTTTTAATTTTCAATTTAATTTTTTTTAACGAAATTTTCAATTCAGTTTTGTTGATGGTTTTCTAGTGTTAGATCCTATTTTGGTGGCTGCATTCCGAAGGAAGTGATTCTACTCCGCCTATAGCAGCGGTTTCGGACAGCAGCTTTTCGGTCCGATCTTCATGTTTGATTTTTGGTGTCAGTTTGATTTCCTGCAGGATTCTTTCGGGAAGATTGAGATCATAACCCTTCCATGATTTCTGAATAGCACCTCTCAAAAGAAAAACTGAAATCACTTACCAGGTGATACTATGTTTTTAACACCAAAAAAAGTTTCAGATAAAATAGATAACCCAGGAAATTATGACAAAAATATAGGCACAAATTCCTTATATCTTGCATTTAACCTGGTAAACTTGAATTTGGATTTAAATCGTCATTCTTCAACCACAAGAATTGCATCCCGAAAATCTATGATTAAGATATTTCTGAAAACTACATAGCATTACCAAATCAATCTTCAGCAAAACTTTGTGATAAGGAAAAAAACACAAACAGGGACCTTCCCTTTTTCAGTAAAAGGGAAAGTTTCCACATTCGTCTGGAGATAAATATAAAATGGGAAATCATGTCTCTCTGAACCTGGAAAAGTAAAACTAAAGACACCAAATGAACATAGTAGAGCGATGACACATCTTCCCCACTATCTCACTTCCTACCAGGGGTCTTGACAGCCTGCCTATTCCTCTTCTTGACACCAGACTTGGAGACCTTGAGACTCCTGTGAACAACACTAAGCCTGGCAAGGGCTGCTTTCTTCAAATCGGGTCTATAGAAATTATCTGCCACCTGAAACAATTTACAATTAAAAAACAATTTAGCTAGTGCAGATATCAAAACTGTAGGAAACAAAATGCATCTTTGTGCTCTACAATGAGAAAAAAAAAAAAAGGCGTATCACAAAAATCCATATGTTTGACACAAGAGGGCTTAAAAGAAACATACTATTCCAGAACATACAGAACAATTTCAAACCATTAATTCTGTTATGATCGCATGATTTGTGAAGAGAGAGAGTTTATGTTAAACCCGGGGTAGGAATTATAGACACTCATTAAACTGGATAAGTTATTACTTGAATGAGAGGCTCCAAACATAGTATGATCATATCAAATGTTCCAGAAAACCAACTTCATTATAATGACACCACAGTTGAACGAAAATCGGAAAACATTGAAAGGCCATTTTCATTTTTCTTTTGTTCTCACTAAATTTGGGTCTTCAAATACCATGTCAATTTTCAGGTATAAATGAGTGCTCAGAAGCCAAGCGTAACAATTGTATTTCATTGAAAATCCTACACAAAGTAGGATCTTCTTACGTGTTAGCTGCTCATCACTGCTAAAAAGTAACCAGGCGGCTGATTAACATGTTAACAACTGTGGCCACACAGATAATAAGATTGCAACGACATTGTAATTAACCTCTATTGCATTCAAGCATCATTGATATTAAGCATATTAATAATTCAACTCAAATAGCAATAGCTAAAACTAGAGCTCAGGATATGAAATTCGGAGGTACCTGATTGATAACAGCCTTGGCCACACGAGGAAACTCCTTCCTGATCACAGACTTGTGAAGCAAACTGGCAGGCTTGTTCTGCTTCTTCGTCTTAGTGGTGGCGAGCACCACAGACTGGTCTTTGCCTCCGGGCTGAATAGTCACCGTCTTCTTGTTCGCCAAGCCTAATTGAAGTTAAAACAACCGAAAATGAATCAAACGAGTCGTATTCCTAGGGTTTAAGTTTTTTTTTTTCTCGGGAAACAAACAGAGGGTAAGAAAATACCAGAATGCTTGTAGGAGTGGAGGTTGTAGAGGTTGTTGGGCTCCTTGCTGAATCGGACGCCAGCGTTGCCTCGGCCGAACTGCTTCACCAAGAAGGAGTTGTTCTTCTTCACGACCTCCCAGATCAATTGTCCTGGAACAGTAGCCATGGCACCTAGCAGCTGTAATCACAAAAATCACAAAATATCAACGGCTCTGATTCATCCAAGACTAAAATGATTCAATATCAGCATGATCTGATTCAATGGAGCGAGAAATGGAATCAGAGAGCGAAAGATCTTAGAGATGGTGAAGAACTTACCCTTGCAGGGAGCGAGCTTCTGTGTGTGAGAGAGGAGGAGGAGGCTCGGTGGGTTCACGAATAAGCTCAAGTATTTGGTTTATATAGTTCTTTTACAAAACCCTAGACACTAAAATGACATGCTGTGGAAACTATATTTATAGATTAAGGAATAACATTGTATCAAGTCCGGCCGTTTGGTCTAGTGGTATGATTCTTGCTTTGGGTGCAAGAGGTCCCGAGTTCGATTCTCGGAACGGCCCTTTTTGTAATTTTAATATGTTTTTCTGAGTTTACTTCATTCTTTCTTTTCTTTTTTGTTATACATGTATCAAAGTTTACTTCATTTTATTAATTACTGTTTTTCACTCCCCTTAGAATTCAAACTTTCTCACTTAACTCTTAAGAGCTCTAAAAATCTTAATTTGTATCTCTGTATAAAGTTCAAGTGATTCACAGACAACAAGTTTTGAAAGATTCTATTTCAAATGTCGATAGCGTAACGTTCTGACGTGACATGAGTATTATAGTAATTTCAACTAATAGAAATTAATTTTTTTTAAATTTTTTTATAAGTGTTTTAAAAATAAAATAACTATTAAATAATTTACCAAAGTCTATTTATTTCAATTTCTTTTTGGCCACGCTGCTTGAAGAACCCATAAAAGCTACCCTGCTCAAGTTGCAAGCTTTAATTTTTAGAATCAAAGCGGCAGCCTAGAAATATATGAAGTTTCGTTGATGGGTTTAAAGATGAGAGTTTTGGATTGTTCAAATGCCTTTCCTTTCTTTTCTTTTCTTTTTTATTTGAAGTGTTTTGCGGGTGAAGCAATGGAAGACAACCTGATAGCAAGCGCGCACTCTTCTGCTTTCAGAGAGTCAGAGGATTTGGAGGGCCAATCCAGCGAAATCGAAGGGTACGATTTCAATCAAGGCATAGACTACCCTCGCCTCCTCAGCTCCATGCTTTCCACTGGCTTCCAAGCCTCCAATCTCGGAGACGCCATTCAAGTCGTCAACCAAATGGTAAACTTTCTATCACCAAACCAACTTCATTGTCATTTAGTTTTTAACCAAACCCATCGTTTTAATTGCACTGAAGCTAGATTGGAGCCTAGCAGACGAGGGTGTAGCTGAAGATTGCGGTGAGGACGAGACGGATTTGAAGTACAGAAAGTCGGTGAAATGCAAGGTGTTTCTGGGTTTTACTTCGAATTTGGTTTCGTCTGGGATTAGAGACACGATTCGGTACTTGGTGGAGCACCGTATGGTGGATGTGGTGGTTACAACTGCTGGTGGCATAGAGGAAGATCTTATAAAATGCCTTGCGCCCACTTATAGAGGTGATTTCTCTTTAGCTGGAGCTCAGTTGCGGTCGAAAGGCTTGAATCGTATCGGTAATTTGCTTGTTCCTAATGGTAACTACTGCAAGTTTGAGGATTGGATCATACCTATTTTCGACCAGATGTTGAAGGAACAAACTGAGCAGGCATGTATCTTAAAGGAGGATACTTTCTTTTGAAGTTAGTTTATTCAATTTATGGGGGGTGTGTGATTGATATGGTTTTTTTTAGCAGAACATATTGTGGACGCCGTCTAAATTGATTGCACGCTTGGGGAAGGAAATAAATGATCGACGTTCATATCTTTATTGGGCATACAAGGCAAGAAATCAACCAAATCGAGCACTTTATGTTTAGCTCTTAAGCTTGTACATCATGTTGGTATTGTTCATTTTAAAGTCTAAATTTGGTTGGATAAATGTTACTGTTAGTTAGTAATGGGGTTGTGTATCAAAATTATGCAAGAGTACCATTGGAATGTTTGTTATCTTCTACTTGTATCTATGAAAATAGTGGCAGTGATCTTTGCAGTAACATTTGGTGTATTTTTGTGGTTGTTTTCCAGAACAATATCCCAGTTTTCTGTCCAGGCTTAACAGATGGCTCACTGGGAGACATGTTGTACTTTCATTCTTTCCGCAGCCCAGGTCTGATCGTTGATGTAGTGCAAGGTATGCTGCTCGTTACTTTGTCATTGCAGCTGATAATTAACTTGGGAAAATGTAATCACAAGATAGCATGCCTTTGAACAGATATTAGGGCCATGAACAGCGAAGCTGTCCATGCAAATCCAAGGAAGACTGGAATGATCATTCTCGGAGGGGGCCTGCCCAAACACCACATTTGCAATGCCAACATGATGCGTAATGGTGCGGATTATGCTGTCTTCATCAATACTGCACAAGAGTTTGATGGGAGTGATTCTGGAGCTCGTCCGGATGAGGCTGTATCATGGGGGAAAATACGGGGTTCTGCTAAAACTGTTAAGGTATTACCTAACCTATGTTATATCTTTACTATGCCCATTCCCTTTTAGCTCTCATTTTTGTTTGCATTATAATATGTACTTCTATCCACCAAATGCTTACCCTTCCAGCGTTTTATCCCTCTGTTTAATTTCCCTCCTTTTGATTGGTTGAACCAGGTACATTGCGATGCAACAATTGCTTTCCCTCTGCTGGTTGCTGAAACATTTGCCAAGAAAGCTGTCGAGACCATGACTTAATATAGTTTCATTGTGAAGATTGATTTATGATATAGAGTTTCAAGTAGTCGTGATGAAGCTGATAACTGCTGGATGGGGCTCAGCAAACATGATAATTACCACATCGTATTCAAGGGTTTGCAAGATCCTATGTAGGATTAGGAATACAGAAATTCACATTTTTCCCCTTGTGTTAGATTTGTTTACTTGTTCTGGTCTATCGTAGGGGTTGAGATGACATACTAGGGGAATTTACTCCTATATGAATGCTAAGCCCATTTACTTAAGAGGTATATATCCCTCTTCTAGTTAGGCCAAAATTCTTGTCAAATTGTTATGTTCACCAAATTACACCGTTTTTAAGCCATTCCTCCGTGAAAATGAGTATTCTTCGATGACCAATCTTTAAATTTTTGAACAATCCTCCCTTTTTAAATTATAATCATTTTTAGCTTGAATGGTTTGGACCTTGGGTTTGCCATTTCATTTGGGAACTTTGGAGATGAAGTTGTTCGTGCCTCATAAACAACGCTCGGAAGAG